TCTCTCACCTTCGTGTTAAAGTGCCTTTTCACTTCTCTGAAACCTTTTAATAGAAGAAGAACCTGACTAAAATTAATCTTGTGCTGGGTCTGCTTTCTGACATGTGGAAAGGGTTGGTTTAAATAAATAATAATTACAAAAAGCTCTGATGACCACGATGTGCTTTCAGTTTGGCTAACTCTTTACTGAAATCATACAGCAAAGCAGACTGCACTCCCTGATGGGTTTGTCCAATATGTGATTACAAATTTAAAAACCAACAATCTTATGATAGTGGATGGCAATACCACAGAATTTGGTTAAAATCTCTTCCAGCTTCTCATGTAGCTCCCTTTCTTCTGACTCCTTTGGTGTATGATGTTACATTTATACCCCGATGACATTGGTCACAGCAGTCCTTTTTGATAGCCTGGTACAGTAAGTTACTCCTCCTTCCCTCCCAGCTTACCCTTTAATTACTACCTGTCACAGGAATGTCTGTGAAAGTGAATAATGTGTACGGAACAACCCCTGTGGCTACCCTGAAGGGAGCTGGGAACAATGCTGCTCAAGCTGTGTGCTGTTATTAAGGCTCTTTGCTGCAGACAGCCTGAAAGTGTGATGTGCCTAGTGTAATACGCCCAGCACACTTGAAAGCTGTGATTTTACTGCTTGGAACAGAGGAGTAGAAACATTTTGATAAATGCTCCTTTGGTGAATATCAGTTTCCCGTTTTAAACCGTGCAGATTATTAAGGTTCTTGATATTTAATGGTACTTAAAGGAGCGGTCCCGTCATGCTGTTTGTATCAAGAGCAACACCCATACAGGGTAAAATGTTTAATATTTACCCAGGTTTTGATACAAATTTGCTTTGATCTTGCCTGTGTTTTTGAAAGCCTGACTTTGTGAGTGAAAAAGTCTTAGCTTACTGCTTTCATATGTAAATTATAATTTTCTGTCTCAGTTGCACTCACCAGGAAGGATGTTTTATGTGGAGGTGATTGATGTATTATGTAATAGGGGAATGGTGTTTCCAAAACCTTCACCAAAGCTGTGGCACAGGAGTTGTTAAACACATCGCTTATATATTCATCCTTCCATATATAATATTTTCTGTGAAAACAGCAAAAGGAAGTTCAGTTTAAATTCTAGATGCAGCTAGTAAAAACACAGTAACCTAACTTTCTTGGAAACTGCGTTTTGAGGAAAGACCACCTAAGACAGAAAGGAAACAGCTTAAAGTCTTCTGGCATCTTTCTAATCCTCTCCTGCAGATAAGCACTAACACCATTTCCCCCTAAAAAAGGGTCCAGTATTTCGTAGTTCTGTTGGAAACAGAAGCGCTACAGAGGACTGTGATCCATTGGTGGTATGGGGAAACAGAAGTGATGTCAGTGCAGGCACTTTGTACAGCTGAGAAAGCATAATCACCTTCTAAGCGACTGAGGTTCGTTTCTTTTTAAAATCAGCCTGTATAATAGAAATCTAGCTGTGAACTACATTTGTATGTTTCAATAAATCTCTCTTTCCAGTGTAGGTGGTTTACAGGTTGCTAAAGTTGATGTAACTCACTTCCTCATCTCCTCATATTATCTTCTGTCATAATACCACCTCTGTAAATCAAGTTAGCGGAATGAAACTGTATGTTCAGGTGCCTGTTCTTTAGTTTCTGGTTTGACGTTTAAGATAGCACTCCGAAAGGAAATAGAGCCCAGGCGTTAAGTCCAAGGTGACAGTTTCTGCTTCAGAAATAGTCTGTGGTATAAATTCAGAAGAGCACATTGCGCTTGCTTTCTTCATTCTTTCAACTTTTGGGGGAAATAACATTTTTTTCCTTCTCTCTCTTAATTTCTTGGATGTAGGTTGATATTTCAGCATAAATGAAGAACACGAAGAGAGGAAGTCTGTGTAGCTAGTTCAGAGAGCCCTTCCTCTCATGCCTCTACATCAGTGCATGTGCCAGACACAACACTTCATGTGTCCTGAAAATACTGGCTTCAGTTCTGAAAATACTAGCTGCAGTATTTTCAGAATTCAACAGGATATTTTGGCAGGGAAAGATAGCAGGTGGTAGTGGAACATTTCGGAAACATGGTGAACAAGCTCCTCTTCTTGTCTGCGACAGACGGACTCCTCCCTCTGGGAGAGGAAGGCACAAACATATACTAGAACAGAACTATAAAACATCAAAGCTTTAATTAGGGAGGAAGGCTATTACACTAGTTAGATGGCTTCTTCTAAATCTACTCTTTACCAAAAGTTATTTCTGTTTTGTGTAATACAGTGTAGGAACATGGAAGTTGAAGTGTGAATGTCTTTAATTGGATCAAATCCTATTAACCTGTGAGTTAAATCTTGGCTCTTCTATTCTTTGCAGTGTGTTTTCAGAGGCAGATGTATTTGCAAAGTTCATGGAGGCTGATATTTGGCGTTTGATGGCAGCTCTCAGCTTATAGCAATTTGTAAGCCACTGCGCCTCTGCCGTGCAGCTAATTCTCACAGTAGTGAGGTATCAACAGTAATGCAATACTAATACATTTCCTGCTCGCTGAATTTTCCCTGTCTGGATGTTCAGATACAGTATTTTGAGCTGTATTTGCTGTATTTCTCACAGAAGCTGTGTGGACAACTGCAGACAGTTCTGTGACAACTTAAGGGAAGAAAAAAAAGCCAGTTCATCTTGTGGTGTATCTTCTTATCATGTCTCTTGTGCTTTCTACATGCCATTTGCTAACAGCCACAGATTCTGCAGTGCTTGCTTCATGAAGCCTGCTTGAGAAAGTGAGACTCTTCACCATAAGATTGTAAAGAAATCTTGTCATGTGCAGTAAACAGAAGTTATTTTTAACCATACCTTGGTTACTAAAGCAGTTCTAAAGTATGGTGGGACACAGGCCTCAGTGCTCAAACCCTAAATATAAAATAATTGTTTGCATATTTTCAGATTACATGGAATGGTAATTATAATATGGCTAGAGCCTGGAACAATTTGGAGGAAAGTTTACGGTTCATTTTCAGAAATGGAATCTCTCTACTGACAGAGGGGACGTTGTACTCTGCCAATAACATACTGCTTCCTGTCAGCCTGAATGCTTGTTGTCATTTTTCATTTCTGCCAGTTGTGAGCAGCATTGGATGCAGTCCAAGGCAGAGCATTATCCATTAGTCACAGGTGGAGAGCACTGCGAAGTGACAGATATGAATGTATGAAGCAGAGATGTGTGGTAGGAGTATTTCACTGTATATACTATTTTTGGAGCTCGTGGCATGCACAGCTGAGCACTGTTCTTGACAAAGGGAAATATATTTGCCTCTTTTACTGTACACCACGTTTATGGACTGTGATTGTAGTGAGAGGTAATTGGACTTTCCTAGTGCAATGTCTGTGCAAATTGTACTGCTTCTGCATCAGAGAGCCTCTGTGGAAGCATGGCATTTACTTTTCTCATGCAAAATGGCATCTGTATATGGATTAACTGTAATGTTAGCTGTTTTGATTGTTTGATGGTATTGTGGGGATTTTGTGTTGTTCCCTCCCCCCCCCCTTTGATTCTTTGAATCCTGAGTTGACTGACTCAAACTAGTAAGAGAAGAGATGATCAAACCTGCTTTTGGTCTTCCTTAGGCAAGTACTTCAAACAGACATGACAGCCAAAATGTCCTGACTGATCCACTTCAGCCTCTTATTCTGCCTTGAGCTCTTACTCTGCCACGAGTCCTCAGTGGTCACAGATCATATACTGTTTGCTCACTGCCTGGTTAAATCTGTCCTGAAACAGAAAGAGAATAATACAGTAGCTGTTTTGACATGTAGATGTACAGAAATCAATTCTTTATATTAAATACCTTCAATATGAAGCAAAATTTCTGACTTTGGAAGGAGGTTAAAACTTTGCTACTGTGAACACTTCCCTTTTAAAGAGATTATTTCAGTTATTGTACTCAATCAGGTAGTCACATCTTGTTCTGCCTTAGTATCTGTTACGCTATCACAGCCAATTAGAGTGAATGTAAGAGGAAATCCCTTGTACCAAGTTTGGACAGGGTGCCTACTGCTGTTCTTTAGTTGGTAATGTTGTTTCTGGAGAGGCAGTTATTTGACATCATGCTTGCGCTGCGTTCTGCAATAGTATCACGAATCATTTTAAAGAGTCGAAAAGGGAAATACAACTCTTTTACATGGACCATTTGGAAGCACTTACTGTTTTTACAAGTGGTACTAATTTGTCAACCTGGTATAAAGCAACAATTTGCAAGATTAGAATGGCAGGCCAGTCTTTCTTGCAGGTATTGGAAATAAGGTAAAATTGCTGTGGATTCTCTCCAATTAATCCATTTTTAGTGACTTGCTTTTTAATGTACTGCAATCAGTATTTAGAAGGCAAGTTTGACATGTAATGAACGAAATAATGTTCTTTCAGCGGTGTGGCAATTTTTCATCAAGATGCTACAAGGAAACTGACAACTGCCGTGTTGGGTTTATAGGAATGAATTACCTGGGGAGAGGGTTTCAGGGACTGCGGAAGGTGGGGGGTTGCTCACCCCATGTAACTTGCCTAGTGAAAGAGTGTCAGTTAGTGTCTGACATCTGTGAAATCAAGTCGTGCTGGACAACTTTGACAGGTAAACAAATGAGTATACCATCAAACTGGTGGTGCTTGTACATTTGGGAACATCTAGGAGTTAGATTGTCCTAGAGGAAAATACCTGATATTTCCCACTTTGAGGAGAGGCATTGCAGAGATTACTCCAAGATTAAACAATTCTGTAACAGTGAGGTAAAATCCTGCCTGAGCAAAAATGAGTAAGGTTCAGGTATGACATTTTCACAACCACCAAACTATTTCCAGCTGTTGCAACAGACAGGCCTGGATTCCTTTGTGGGACTGGTTGGTGCAAAAAAGAACTTCTAGAATCTTATAAGCTTTCTTCTGTTTAACTTGGTTTTCATAACATAAAGCATTTCATTTTGTCTTACAGTCTATTATACACAGCATGTTAATTATATATCTGCTTCAGTTTGCAGCTCATCTAGTGAAGAATAAATACCCACGGGTCTGCATTCTAGATGGAGGAATCAACAAGATCAAGCCAACTGGTCTCCTCACTGTTCCTTCTCCACAGATATAAGTGACTGTAAATGTTTGGGACGATCTGTCTCGGTAGGCAAGTCTTACAGTTCAGCATGCGTATCCTGAACTCAAAGGGCATTATGTTATTTTCACTATACAACCTCTCTGGATGATCAGTTGTCTTAACCTGCAGATCAAGAGCAGAGGTATTTTACACTTATTCTTTGATAAAGAGCTTCAGCTAGCACAGATGGAAAATGTGAATCTTAAGGTTTTGTACAAAACTTCTTTCAGCAATGATGTATTATGCAACTGGCTGAGCTCATCTGCACAGAGAAAGAGAAACTCAGCTGGCATTTGGTTTCTTAGAAATTTTTCTGCAGAATGAAATAAACTGGCAAGTGATGGCTTGAAGCTGCACTTAAATAGATTATTTTTCAAAGGTATTTTACTGTGAATATTGAAAGTAATGAGCTGAAGTTCTGTCCTGTATATCAAAGAAGGAAAAAATGTGTTCTCTTTTATTTTGAAGAATAATTGCTGTATCTTGTGACCTACTTTTTTGTTGTTGTTGTTTGGAGAAAGCGTTTTTCATCTGGATTGGAAATAAAGATATGTCCTAGGCTGGAGATCACTGTAAGAGCTGCTGCTAAGTCAGTCCAAACCGTATCATATGCTGCAGAAGTGGAGAAGGCATACTCCTATGTGGAGAATTTAACATCCTGAAACATGGCAAATGCAACTGTTTCTGAAAAAATTGTGTGTACCCCAAACATTTTTTTTACAATGCCATCTTATGACAATAGATCCTGTATTCCACAAATGCTAGTGTTTATCCAAGTTATTAGCTCACATCTTAAAAAGAAACAAGGTAGTTGGAATTTTCATATAAAACTAGTCTAGAGAAATTACTGTTTTATGAATGTACTCTAATTGGAGGTGTGAAGTTCCGTTTGGTTTATTCGCAATTCTTTCAGCTAGTGGTGCAGACTTTTTGGAGGCCTGTTACTGAAGATAGCAATCCTGTTTCCAAACTAAAACGGATCCAAGTGCTGTAGATGAGTGAAAGCAGGGTTCTGCAAAGGGCATAAGGCGACAGTCCACTAGGGGATGTGGAAATTACTTTGCAATAAGAAGCCAAAAGTATTGAAAGCACCAGTAGGGACAGGAATTAACATCTCTGTTGGCAGTAAGCTAAGAATAAATGTGATTCAGACAAAGTTTCAGGAGATGTTTTAAAACAAACAAAAAACCACCACTGTATTTCTCCCCCTAAAACCCCAGGTTAACTTTCCTAGAATGTCAGCTCCGTTACTCCAAAAATCATATGGGGGAGGTGTGGAGGGATTCTAGGAAAAGATAATAAACTGAGTTCAAGAATGCTATTTGAAAATAGTATCTTTAATCCAGGAAAAGCAGTTCTTATAATTTAAGACTGACAAGGATGGCTCTGACATTAAATGGGAAGTTGGAAGGATTTACTCTAGACAGAAGGGAGGAAGAAGCTTTACACTTCTGTTTCTACATTTTTCAAGTTTAGAAAATGTTGTGACACTTGGGGTATAAAATATATTTTGTAAAACAAACAGAATGACAAAGACCTGCTCACCTGGTTACAGTCATACATTAGTTTTTACTGTAATTTTGACACTATTTTTGCTCTTTGTTAGAACATAGCCTGACACGATGGTTTACACAATATGACCTCACTGTTAGGGTAAGAAGGATCTGCTCTGGAAGATACAATTATCATATGCCTTACTTGAGGATTTTCTACCATGAACAGTTTATAGTTTGGCAAATAAGAACATTGCAGCAACTAACTTTATTTTATTTTTCTTTGTCACAAGAGATTTCCAAAGCTGAAGCAGTTGTGAGAGGAGAGAAGAGGTTGCTGAGAAGGCTGTGAACCCAGGTCATGAATATTCTCTGTAGATCACTGGCGAAATGATTTTTATTTTTTTTTAATCTGTTGTTGGTTTGTTGTTTGTTTGTTTGTTTGAACTGATGCTGCGGAAGATGAGACCTTGTGGAAGGCACTGAAAGAAGAAGCCTTTGTTTTCATCTGTGTGATGGCCAAAATATTTCATTCCGAATTTTCAGAAGCTAGCATCTCTGGAGCTGATATTATCTCCAGCAAGTTCTAGTCTTGCCTTGCTGCAACTGTTATTTCAAGAACATTAATGGGAAAGTGTGATGAGTGAAAAGAACATGGGGAAGGAAAGGCACCATTCAGCTCCCTTTATTGTAGTTGTGATTTGTCTTTAAAAAAAAAAAAAAAAAAGAATTACAATTTACTGATATATGTGGGCTTTCTTAGGTCTAATGCCAGCATACTGTCCTGACGTTTTCAAGAAGTTTTTGACACTAAAAATCTAAGACATTTGATACAGTGACTGGGTAAAGGATCGGAAAGAAAAACAGGTCTCTCTGCTAGCAGAGGATTTCTACATAAATGTCTGGCAAGGCCTATGATATTCAGGTGACTTGTAAAGTAGTGCAGAGACACAGAGGCATGGTGAGTAAACACCAGCATGCTGATAATACGAAATCACCCACTGTGGTCCATCTTTTGGTTGTTTGCTTGGCTAAAGAGAAAGACCTTGCAATACTCAAAGACAGAAAAAATCACTATGGAAGGGTGCATATGGGACCCTGGAGAACCAGTTTTAACCATATTCAGTGGTGAATTCATTGATAGACAAGACATCATTCCCAAACTTAAGAGCAGCCAGATAAGCCCCACAGAGTGTTGGTGATTGTAAGGGAAGAAATGAACAAAGCAAGTTCTACCATAACAGAAATAACCTGTTTGGTACATTTTGAATACAATACAAGAGCTTTATAGTACCAAAACAAAAGATGCACAGGATACAAAACAGAATAAGATGTTGTGTTTCCATGACTTTGGCATGGAAAAAGAGACAACCAAAACAGAACATACCCTATTTTCCCAAAAGTACATCCTTCAGTTGTGGAATTTGTTGCCAGAAGAGGCCAAAAGTGTAAAAATAGTCATAAAGAAGGATTTATCTAATCCTTCTTAATGGAAGCTTTATAGAAGAGTTGAGTTTCTGACTATTACCACAATGTATGATCAACAGTATTGAACACATGGAATTCCTAATCTATTGGTTAAGAGAGGCTGAGAGAATACACCAGAGATGGATTTTACCATATTTCCTGTGCTCCTTTTTCAAGCACCTGTCTTTCATTAGTGGATATTGGGCCATACCCACTACAACACTTCGGGTGATGTTCTGTATTTAATCCCAGCTTAATGGTTCCTTCTCCTTTATGCAGGTACTCAGAAAAGGACTGTAAGCCCAAAGAATAGAATACCTGTAAGAAAATAAGATTGAATGTGTCCCTCGCTACCTGTTCCTCTGGTAGGAAAGGTAGGAAGTGATCAGTGTCTGCTGCAGCAAATATTTAGAATGAGAAGCCAGGTTATCTTTCAAATTAAAAATACCTAATATTTAACAGGTTCAACACTTCGTTTTTGAATAATACAGCCATTTTTAGTATTTAAATATTACACATCTGTAGATTTCGGCTATAATTTGAATTTAAATAGTTTTAAATAATTTTTAATTTTTTAATAATAATTATTATTTTTTAATAATTTTTGAATTTAAATAGTAAGATTCCAGTCATATGTATTTGTGTATGGATATATTCTTACAGCAAACTTAAAAGCTGCCATTAAGTAAGAGTTTACATGGTAAAGTGATGTTTATATGTGTTTTCCATGAGAAGTCATGGAGAGGATGTGTGTAAAAGCAGGAAATGTCAAGAATTACTAAACAACACTGTTTTTTTCCCTAGAACATAGAACTGCATGGAAAGCTGTGTAGCTAACAGCTGAATATGACTGCAGGTCACTGGTATACCTGTACTTAGTACTTCAGTCAACATTTTTGAAACCTGTGCCTATAAATTGGCATACTCTGTCTAGATTCAAGCATGTAGGACAAGTGCTCGGTCACAAAATTAGCTCTTGATCTCCTCTTCCCTATGCTAAGAAAATCTTGCATTTTGTGGTAATTTTTCATTAGAGAATTTATCTCATTTTTATAGTGGTTGCCCAGTTTAAGAAATGAGTAACAAAATGTATTTGCTCTGTTGTTCTGCCGATTTTGGCAGTGTTCTCTGGTAGAGCAAGCAGTTGTCAGATTTCATAGAGTTCCGGAGAGACTTTTGGAGGCAAGGGTTTTTTAGCATGTATTTTTCTGTCATTTATCCAGCAGTGCCAGAGTCATTCTCTGTTTTAGATTGCAATTGGATATGATGAAGATCTAGTAGGAGTAAAACCAACTACTGTTCTTCAGAGGTGATGTTTTCTACTGCTAGAATAAAAACATTCCAACTAAATATTTCCCACTGTTTAGTCTGGAAAATATAGCCTTTCCCAGTCTGATTTTGTCCTACAGGTCTAAAAACATACTGAATTTGCCCCAACTACGTGTGCCTATAGCTTCCTGCTAGGACAGCCAGGTTCCCCATATAGTACCCAGGTGGACACCTAGGGAGAAGCGAGCAAAGGAGATAAACCCTCTTAGTCTTCCATCTTTGATCATTGCAGACTATCAAATAATTTCTGTTAAAATAGAATGTCTCTCTTTAGACCAGACATAGTGTTCTGAGAATTTTAAAGTCAATACTTGTTATTTTTAAAATGAATCTTTTCCCTTTAGAGTCATGGTCTCCCCTCTGTCATATAGGGTATTTGGTAGACAGCCTTTCTAATATTTCCGACGTAGAAACAGTAACCACAGCAGCTAGGCAGAGAAAGCTATGTCTTCTTTTACTTAGGTGATTTCTTCTGATCTCCTAAATAATCTGTAGAAGTATGAAGAGCTAACTAATTTGTTGGAATGGGCAAGGGGTTTAATTTAAATAACATCCTTGCCTTGTGTCTTTTACCAGGCTTTAATCTATCATTAAGCTAACTGATCCCTTTGTGTCTTTGTGTAGACAGAATTTGTGCAGGCGTAATAAGATGATGCAATGTTTTTTCAATGACGTTCTGGATATCATTAAGTATTTATCAAGTTATTAGATCTGCCCTCCCTTTTTTTATGAGTATTACCTCTCATGTGAGGAAGACTCAACTTGTCACACCTTTCCTGTCATCCTGAGAAGAACCTGCTCTGAGAGTGCCTGTGGTCAGGTATGTAAAAGATAGTTGTACACTAGTCTGTTAGGAAGACTTCCCATGCTGCTTTAAAGGAGGATGGTTATCAAATTCAATCTTAGCTGGACTTCAGAGCTGCATTGCACGCAGCTCAAATGATAAGGTTATTATTCAGAGAGGTACTGTGAGAGAGTCTGTTAATTTTGTGGCCTGAGACATACTCGCTGTTCCTATTTGCAGGACGTGAGTGTGGTCTACAATATCCATTCTGGAGATTTAATTTATGTTTTCAGTTTGGGTAGTGAATTAGGCTTCTTCAGTGAAGATAAAAACTGTCTATTTCATTCTTTAGCTTTCACAGTGTTAATATTTTGCTATTTTGGTCTGGGAATTGTGTGGGAATAAGTGTGGCCTTTTAGTCTCCCATCTTCAGTTATCTTTTCTCTGCTCATGAGTCAGACTGACCTCTCTCACTGTTATGTTGGAAGCTTAATTACTATCAT